TGAGTTATAAATAAGTTCTGAAGATCTAAGGTACAGGATGGTGACTACAGTTAATAATAACGTATACTTGAAATCTGATGAGAGAATTGATCTTAAGTGTTCTCACCATCAAAAAGCAGGGAGGGCTCTGGGTGGTGCGGCTCAGTGGACTGAGCATCGGCTTAGGAACCAAAAGGCTGCTGGTTCGATTCCCAATCAGGGCACATGCCTGGGTTCTGGGCCAGGTCCCCAGTAGGGGGCGCGCAAGAGGCAATCAACTGATGTTTTTCTAGCACACTGATGTTTCTCTCCCTCTCTCTAACCCTCTTCTCTCTAAAAATAAATAAATACATAAAACCCTTTTTGAAAGGGGGAGGGGTAAATAGATGAGATGATGGATAGTTTAATTAGTTTGAGGGCATAATTTTACAATGCATATGTATGTATCAAAATATCACATTGTATACCTTAAATACGTATAATGTTTAGTAGTCAATCTCACTCTCAATAAAGCTGGAGGAAAAAAAAGACAGCGTTTCTCTACTGATTATCTCTATCATGGGAGACTTAATTATGTAATGTCTTATTTCTGAAGCTGATTTGTGGGTACACAGCTATTTACCATATGCTTTATATAGTTTCATAAGACTTAAATATCACATAATAAAAATTTTAATGAGAAAATTATTTTAAAATTGAAACAAAAAATATTGCCCTGGCTGCTATAGCTCAGTGGACTGAGAGGTGGCCTGTGAACCGAAAGATCGCTGGTTCAATTCCCTGTCAGGGTACATGCCTGGGTTGCGGGCCAGGTCCCCAGTTGGGGAGGCTCGAGAGGCAACCACACATTGATGCTTCTCTTCCTCTTTCTCCCTCCCTTCCTCTCTCTCTGAAAGTAAATAAAGTCTTTAAAAAAAAAAATACCATTTTATACCCTTCAGATTGGCATAAACCAAAAAGTCTGATAATACCAAGTGCTTGTTGGTCATAAAATGGGGAACACTGGGACTCTCAAACATGAAAGTATAAATTGGTACAGCCACCTTTCATAGTAACTTGTTATAATCTGGAAAAGTTGAAGCTGTCCAACCATTCAACCCAGCAATTTCATTTCCTAATGACATACCCCAAGAAGTTCTCGCCATGAGCACCAAGTGACGTGTATATTCTTGGCAGCATGGTTTGTTGGAGCAAAAAACTGGAAATATCCCAAATGCTCGTTATTGGAGGAATGGATACTGAATCATGGTAAAAATCGTATGATGATTTTTACATTGTGATACTACACAGCTGTTAAAATTAATCATTAGACTCTTATGACAACATGAATAAGATGTCCTACACCTAACACTGAGTAAAAATATTCTAAACCACATAAAACAACATTGCATCTCGTATATGGATATAAACATTTAAGTGAGGAGATTATAAAGTTATAGAAAGGCAGGACACAAACCCAAATCATGATGGAGGTTGCTTCTGGGAAGAAAGGGGAAGAGGAAAAAAAGTAATAATCTTAGGCCTCTTATGGCTTTTACTTTATTTTAAAAGATAAGAAGCGGAGGTGAGAAACGTAAACACTGATTTATTCTGGAAGGTGAGTTATAAGCTTATCATATTAATATAACTTGATGTATTATATACTCAGAATATATACTCTGGTGCTTGTTATATTATTCTTTGCACTCTGGGGGGAGGCGTTTGGGGGCGATCAATTTGATATAATCAACTAATCCTCTCCCCATCTACCCACTGGCACCCGAAGTTTCGGTGACCCACAGGGGAAGGGCACACAGACAGGAAAGAGCACAGAGGAAACAGGCAGTTAGCAGAACCCTCAAAGCGGCTGAAGACGCACAGGCAGCCTGCTTTACGCAGAGATAGTGCTTGCAAAAAACACAGTTTGAACTCATGAGAGATTACACTTCACGCAGCCATTTGACCACAAGAGTAGCTAGTTAAGAAATTATGCAAATCTAGGTCCAACACTAACTCTGCCAGTTGTCTGCTACGTGACCTTCAGTATATTTCTCAACAGCTCTAAGCCTGAGTTTCCTTCCATTAAGACAAGGCTTACAATACCTACACCTCAAGAATTATGGTAAAGACTCACTTCAATACCTTCTCTAAAGTGCTGAGCACAGTGCTTGGTTCATAGTTATTTGTTCAACGCATGGTAGTTATTGTTTGTGTCAGAACTGGGATTAGAACTCCACCAGTGGGCATCTGTTTCAGCAAAGCAAACAGAAATATCCCAACTGATGCACCAAAACAAATGATTACCCAACAACAATAAAGCAAGCCCTGTTGACTAAAATGTATGGCTAAAAGGAATGTAAGAGAAAACATGGGAATAGGAGGGATCCCATTTATGTATAACAGCACTACAGAGGCAACTTTATAAATCCAGCAAAATGCAAACTGTCCTCAAACAGAACAGATTACCACACTGAATGGTAATCTCACTGTGTGTACCAATTGGTCAACAGGTCCCATTGACCTAAATCCACAAAGAAAGTTCTTAGACTCCCACACTTCAAGTTTTAGAAGATACGGTTTTCCAAGTTGTTAAGAAGGGGAGAACATTTTTAAAACATACTTGGGGAAAAGACATATTTTCCATGCTTTGAGCCAAAAAAAAATTCTTCATTATTATGAGGACACAATGTACATTAGCAGATTAAAAATTTGTAATTCTCAAATTCAGAAGTGATGTAAAGTAAATAAAAGTTAATAAAAAATATGGCAACCAATAACTGTAAGAAATAAAAAATTTATCACTTCCCTAAAAAAAAAAGTAGACTTGAATGAATTCCCCAAAGGATCCATCCAAACTTTCATTGACTAAATTATCCCTAGATTATATATATTCTTTGAAAATATAGAAAATGCAGGTTAACAACCTAAATTATGAGCTTAGAATAGTTTTGATGTTACAAATCAGACCCAAAAAACCCATAAAAAATTCATAAAACAAAAAACTAAAGTTTCTAAAACTCATAACACAAAAAAACTAAAGTTTCTAAAAGTTTGTGTATAAGAAGTTGAAACAAAGTTTCTAAATATATTGGATATGTAATATATTGAAATAATTATGTCAATGTAGTTTTTTTCCTGAAAAGGCAACTCGGATTATAAAACAATCAGGAAAATGTGAACACCAGCCGGAAATCTGATGAAACTGAAATTGTAAGTTATGTGATCATTGTACCATGGTTATGTTAATAAAACAGAGTCCTTATACTGAAGTATTTTTGAAGCAAATGAACACTGGAAATGGGGAAAGGGGCGGAAAGGAGGAAATAAATGAAACCAAACTGTCCATATTTTGAAAGCTGTTGAAGCAAAGTGATGTGTCCATGGGGTTCACCATTCTCTTTTCACTACTTTAATGTATTTTTAAAATAGCCGTAGTAAAAAAAAAAAAATTAAATTAAATTAAAAGAAGCATCTGTATTTAAAACTTAATTAGGTTACAAGCCAACACTAGTTGATGAAAAAAATTTCACAACAGAACAGAAAAAGAGGTATCAAAGCCTTCCAACTCTGATTTGGAAGCGTTCTAGAAGGTTCCTTCCTTTTCTTCCTATCCTGCCCCTCTTCCCTCCCGTCTTCCTTCCTCAAGCCATCCGTTGCTGTGACTTAGCTGTCTCCCGCCATACACACAACTTCCCGAAAGCCAGAAATGCTTCCAAATGGGTGGTGCCTCAGAACATATTCAATAAATATCTTTAAACGACAAAGCATAGTCAAGCACTTTACATTTTTTTAGGTTTGCTCTGAACAAGTAATTTTTAAAATAATATATTATCTATTTAAAACATATCTTTCATATATTTGATTACACATATTACTGGGGATGAGTAATCTGAAGTTTTCCGTTAACAAGTGAATGATCAGGAGTTTGATGACCATCGCTTTGGACACTAGGACGCGACTGAAAGTGTTTGAGGAGGGCAAAGTGTGGAAAGTACTATATTAAGAAAATAACTGAGCAGAACTACCTAGGGACAGAAAAGATGCGGAGACAGACTAGTCAGAGAGGAGTCACGCGCTCCTGGACAAGGCATTCCTTCCGAAGTAAGACGGGCGGGAAGAGGACAGGCGACTTGGAGAAAAGCACTCGGTGACGAAGGCACTATTAAGGATGAAGAAAAAGGTTGGCGGGGGTGTCAGAGACCCTGCCCTGGGGGAAAATGACGCGTCTGACTCATATTCAGGCACAGATGCCCCTCGGACGCGGGAAGACGGAGAGTCGCGGTTCAGCGGAAGGCCTGGGCCGCGGGGGTTCACAAGGGACGCATCTCTGTAGATGTGACACCTGCACCCCAAGATGTGAGCTCCCTTAGGGCAAGAGACCTGGGAGACAGGCCAAAAGGCGTACCCCAAACCCTGGTGCCCACCTATATTGAGGAGGCAATAAAGACACGTGGAAACACAGAGCGAGCCGCCCTGAGAGGGGAGCCACGCTATTTCAAAGTGGCCCCAAGAGCGGGCAGTCAGTGGCTCGGGCCGCCGCGGGGAGGCAACCAGGAAAGGACGCTGCGAGAAAACACATCCTTGCTACCAACCTTGTCCGGAAGGTGCGGACGTGTGTCAGGTATCAGAAAAGGGACAATGAGGGGACAGGAGGCGGATCTCGGCGCCCGGCGCGGAGAGAGTGTGGGAACGCGCCTGGGAACGGAGGTAGCAAAGAGATAAACACTCAAGAGCGCAGAAAGGGGAGGCGTTCTCCTCCGTTCGCAACCCTGCCTCCCAATTCCCGAGGTCCTGGCGGGCCCTGAAGCACCTTCTTACTGGGCGGGGGACCTGGGCTAGTCTTCCCCGAGGCAATATCACGTTCGCCGTATTTGAAAGTCTGGAGGCGCGGGAGAAAGGGTTCTCCGCCAACAAGTGAGGGGCTGGAGGAACAGGCCGTGGGGTGCGCGGTCGCCCGAGGGCGCGCCCCTCGCAGACAGCAACCCCGACTGCCCTCCCAGCCGGGGACCGGAGAAGCCGCCCCTCCCTCGCTGCGCACTTACCGCTCCGCATGCGAATAGTGGCACCGGCCCAGCAGATTGAGCTTGCAGAGGTGCAGGTTTTCGCAGCCTTTCGGGCAGTACTTGCGACGGCAGATTCGGGCTGAGGTAGTGGCCACCACGGACCGGGTGACCCCAGCCCTGTCTCCGGTCTCCAACACCAAGAAGCGGTTGGGCCCGGCCGCCTCCAGCACCTCGCAGAGCTGCGCCTCGGAGAGCTTGATCTCGTCGAGCAGCGAGGTCAGGGCCATGCGGCCCCCGTGGGAGCACAGGATTTTGGTGATGAAGGAGCATACCGGCGGGTCCGCCATGGCGCTGCGCTGGCCCGGCCGCGAAGTGCGTCTCGGCTCCGGGAAGAATCGAAACTCACAGGAGCCCCGGGGGCGGGGGCGGGCGCGGGCGGTGCTCCGACTGGGCGCGCCCGGGGTTTTCGAGCGCGCGCTCTCCGCCGCAGCTAGCGGAGCCCAGCAGTTTCGGTTTTCTTCTCGGCTCTGGGTCGAGAGAGGACAGATACCACCGACCTGATCCGGACGTCAGGTCTAAAGTCAACCGCGACGGCAACCGAAAGGAAAGGCGAGCAGCGAGGGCGGATCTGCCGAGGACCGCAACGGCGGCCGCCACCGCCGCCCTGCGGCTCCCTCTAGGCTCAGCGACGCTGAGGTCCGCCGCTGGGCAGGGCGCGGCTTCTTCGGAAAGAAAAGAAACTAAAAATGACCTCGGAGCGCTGGTGCAGTTTTTATAAGCCAGCCGGTTTGGCTAACGACGCGAGTTTGGGAGCCGCCTTGAGTTGAATATCATTAACTTTACTCCATGTTGGAGGAAGTAACTTGAGCAAAACACGCACGGCCAACGAGCTGGAGCCCGGATGCTACCCGAAGTTCCCCGAATCCGACTTACAGGCACCAGGTCGTGGACCGCCTAGCCAGGACCGATGTGCCCTACCCCCCCCCCCCCCCCCCCCCCCAAAAAAGAGCGATCATTCCTCTCCCTCTCTTTTGCCTTCCCTCGAACTTTTCAAAGGACCTCTTCCTGACCTTCCTGGCCTGCCGGCCTGCAATTGCTGGCAGCGGTGCCCCAGTCATCGCTTATTCCTCTACAGCAAGCGGTCACAAAGGGGCACGGGTAGACATATCCCAAGGTTCCAGATACGTTTCTCTCTTTGGTTCTTTGGACAAGACCTTTTTCCCTGTGGGGACCCAGTGGGTCCCCCGGAGTTGGTGTAAAGATTAAGTGAAAACATTTGAGCTTCACAAGATTCAGAAGAAATTTCACCTGAAATTCTCTTGAGCTGACTAAAGCAGACCCTCCTGAAAATACAACTTCCATTAGCTCTCTTTCTAGGGAGTTCACTGCTAATTCAGTTGCCAAGTGGAGACAGACAGCCCATTGCTATTAGCATCAAAAAGCCCAGCAGCACCTTCCTTGTTCCCCCATTGAAGCCCTAAAAACCCCCCTTTTGTTAAATTGAGAGATACCATCTTCTGGCTATTCCAGGAGTTTTCCATTACAGAGAGCTTCCCACCCCTGCCCAGGTGTAAATAAATCTTGTCTTTTCTCCTGTTCACCTATTTGTTGGTTAACTTGCAGGCTCTCAGGCACTGGACCCAAGTTGGAAGAGGAGAAAGTTTCGTCCCCAACACTCCAAGTCAATAAATGGGTCACTGATCATATCGGAAATAAACCTTTTTTTTAGAATAATAGAACTCAGTTGTCAAATTAGAAATTCTACAAAACGATTGATGTGAATTCTCAGTTTAGTAAGTCACGGTAGATGAACTTTGTCTCTCAGGAATAGAATACTTTGGTATGAAAACTAGCCAAAAATATTGTTCTCTCTAGCTATTCTATGGTTGCCTTTGGTCCACTTGGCCTTAACTGTGGTCTGATAGTTTCCCAGGAAAGGGCTTTCATTATCAAATCCATTAAATTCCACATAATATCTTGCCACGGTCGGTGTGGCTCACCTGGTTGGAGTGTCATTCTATAAACCAAAGGTTGCAGTTTTGATTCCCAGTCAGGGCACATGCCCAGGTTTCGGTTCTATCCCCGGTTGAGGGTGTATGAGAGGCCCGCGCACGAGCGAGCGCGCTCTCTCTCTTTCCCCCCTTTCCCTTCCCCTCTGTCTAAAATCAATAAGCATGTCCTCAGGTGAGGATAAAAAATAAAAATGAATTCAACATAGTGTCAAGCATGTGGGTGGTCCTTACATTAGTTAGTCATTCTGAGCATGCGGAAGTTTAAGACATAGCCCCTGCCATCAAGGAGCTTGTGTTTGGGAAGATATGAAAAAGCATTTAAATGTAAGGGAGTCAGGGTCCCAAATGGATCACTTGTCCTAAAAGCCCATGAAACCAAACCTAGATGTAATACCTGACTTAACTGCAGTCTCACCCTCTGCCAGAAACATCATCTTAATTGACCAGTCTAGAATTTGGTACAAATCTGTAAGGTAAAATCTTTTTTTTTTTTAATATTTTATTTATTGATTTGAGAGAGAGAAACATCAATTTGTTGTTCCACTTTTTATGCGTTCATTGGTTGATTCTTGTATGCGGGGATCGAACCTGCAACCTTGGTGCTTCTGGTCAATGCTTTAACCAGCTGAGGTACCCAGCCAGGATTTGTAATGTGGGCCTTCTCCATCTCTTCCTCAACCCCAAAGAAGAAGAGGCAATCTGCATGATAAAACCCTTCCCCCTCCAAAAAAAAGATGATGTCCTGGCCTAAAAATAATCATTTATTTTGCTAATAATTCATGTTTATGCCTATAAAAACCTTCCATTTTATATAACTCCTTGGAGGCCCTTCTAGTAGCTAGACAGGATCCTGCCAGATTTATGAATTGCTTAATAAAGTCAATTAGACCTTCAATTTTACTTGGTTGAATTTTGTTTATTAACGGATTAAATGCTGTAATTGGTATATAAGACCTTTGAGAAGGAATAGTACAGTTTGACTAGGAAGGTTGGGAATAGAGACATAAAATCCCCCTCAATCTGAAGCCATGAAAAACAATTTAAGGGATTTTGGGAAGGGAAAAGGCAGTCATTTAGGGAAATTTTGAAATCTGTGCTGTCACAGGTTGGGTTCTCCAGGAAGCACAGATACGGAGGAGTTAGGAGTACAGGTTTCCTACGGTGTCACACCAGAAAAAGTTAAGGGAAGAAACTGATTGGTCTGTAGGGGCTTGCAAATCTCTCAAGTCTGCCAGCCCGGCTGGGAGCAGGCGTCTAACCTCAGGCCACTGCCTTGTTTCGGGAAGGAGCCTGGAGAAGTACGTGACTCCAGCCTAATCACTGGGGCGGATCCTGAAGGAGTTTAAGCTGGAGGCTATCACCTACACATTCCTGAGTTGGGCAACAATTACTAGCTTAATGGAGGTAACAGTGACACCCTGCACCACCAGAATCTATTTCTCCATCTGTATTTAGGAAACATCTTCAGGGGTCTGATGGGCCGCTCTTCCTGAAAGGAAACTTAACAGAAGGAAGTTAATGTAATGCACTATTGCCCCATCCCAGCAATTGGGTCCCAAAGGCCACAGCTGGACCTCCTGATACAGCTCCTCCACTTTGCATTCTAATTCCCCTCACCCGCAGCTACCCCCTCAGCTGCTCTCAGAAGCTTACCTGGACGTGCACCCCAAATCCTGATTTCTAACTGGCCTAAGCACCTTCTCAGGCTAGGGTTGCTGCTCTTGCCTTGTCCGCTCACAGTCGCCCATCGCCACCTGAAAAGGTCAGCGCAGTCCACACATAGTCACCATCCATTTTTAGCTTCAATCCACACAGCGAGGTGAGCCATTGATAACCTGAGCTTGGTTTTTTCCCCCTTGTTTAGCTGTTTCTAAGGGATCCCTCATGCGGCCCTAGGGTGTAAGCTGGGGCAGGGGTGCCAGTGCGACTGTAAGGAGTGACGTGGAAATCTGGGCTACTTACTCATTTGGCTCGCGAGTCCTGATGGCGCTCAGCCCCAGCTGTACCAGTTTCCTCTTATGCCGGCTTTGATGCCGGTCTGCCTGGCTTATGACTTTATGCGTCTAGTAGGACCTAGCTCGTGACGGCCAGTTCCGAACCCATGGGCAATCATTATCTCTACCATCGCGCAGCAGCAAGGAAGGTGCTGTTCTTCCAAAGGAGTGTAATTCTTCACCGCAGTTGGCATAGCCTTGTCCGTAATCCCCGGGGACAGCATTGTGATTCTGCTGGTCAGACTTGCCATAATTGTCACGCTACATCTTCTCCTATTGCTGACACCTCCAACACCCTAGGCTCTGCCAGATTGTACAGTCCAAGCAGAAGGCTGTTTGAATGGCAGCCTGGACTTGCTGCGGATCTCTTTCCTGCTCTGAGCTCCACCCAGAGCTGGCAACCTTCCGTGCCACCCAGTACGTGGGCAGCAGTAGTGTTCTTAGGCGTGGAATGTATTTCCTCAAGAACACAAAGAGTCCTAACAGGCTCTGGGGCTTCTTTCTTTCTAGCAAGGGATCCAACATACAGCAATGTGTCTTTTACTGAGGAGGAAACATACCAGGATGCTGCTCACCATTAGGCCTCTAACATCTTTAGTGAAGCGGCAGGTCATGAAAACTTCATAGGATCTACCTCCTACTTTCTGGAGTGCATGTGTCCTATCAAGCCGCTAGGGCTGGCTCCACCTTCTTATCCTGCCTGAGCAACACGATGTCATCGATGTAATCGATCGAAGTGATGTTATGGGCTTCAGACTATATTAGGACAGAGGACTGAAGAGCGAACACAAAACTGTGGCAAAACTGCAAATGCTTGTTGGTATCCATGCAGTGTGAATATGAACTATTTCTGATCCTCTTTCCTGATTGAGATAGAAAGGAATGCACTTGTCAAATGGATGGCCGCAATTGTTAGGGAGAAATTAGATATGTAGAAAGAGGAGAGGTAGAAGAGAGTCCACGGTATTTAAAGAAAAAGCTCATTAAAAAAATTTGGGTAACTGCATTAACTTTGATTAACTGCTTCCGGTCACATATCTTTTCTACAACGGATGACATGAGGTGGTCTGGAGCAAGATAAGGATCTGGGTTAATAGACCTCGACATAATCCTACGTTTAGGTTGTCACGTCTTGCCGTCTTGCCGTCTTGCCATGAGAAAGCATTCACCACCTCTGCCCACCAATTCAGTATGTAACTCCCTCACCCCATCCCACTCGCTATATAAGTTCTCAGGACAAAGGATCTGCTGCCCTGCCCTGCCTTGCCTTGCCTCCTGCCTTTCACCCACCTCAGCAAGGCCTGTTCTCACATATCACTAATAAACTCTGCTTGCATAGACTTGCTGATCTTTAAATCTTTACTGCGTCGGCAAGAAGGACAAAGTTCCCCACA